ATGTCTTTGCTTTTTCTATTCCTTTTCATGTGATATATAAACATAATGAATGATTGTGTATCGTCATTCCTGATGATGTGCTCTGTCAGAGTACGAAAGCTCGAATCCTCATCTTTTATTTCTGCATGAAATAAGCCTTTCTCATGATCTTTGCGGCAGTTTTATCTTTCTTTTCTTATCTTTTACCTACTGCTCTCTCTCCCAAATTTATTTCCAATCTTCGTTCAAAGTATGGCGAATCGATTCTGGTAAGTGTGAGACATTGTGAAAAATTTAGTGAGAAACTACAGAAAGCTAAGTGTGATGTCGAATTCCTAAGATGTTGTTTAATCCATAATTTAACACCTAATTTTCTTAAAATGCGTTTGTGGAAGCCAGGCTTAAGGAAATCAGAAAAGTACAAGTCATTTCAACGTAGTTGTCTTATTCGAGAATTTGAAACTAGACAAAAACAGTCGAGACAATTAGAAAAACAAGTATCGTCAATTTTAAAAGAATTAGAAAAACGTCTTTCGAATTCAGATTACGATAATGTGAAAAAATTTTGTTATAATTCAGCAAAGAAAAAGCATAGTGAAGTGGTGAAAAATCATAGAGACAAACTAGAAAGATTAAATAGAGGTCCAATCGGTCAGAACTACGAAGAGATGAAGAATAAACTAATTCACAACATGTCATCATATACGCTCTCAGAAGTAGAAGAGAGATTATTATGTCGCGGTTGGGATTTTTGTATAGAGAATAAGATAAAGAATTTTCTAGATTTTGAAACAGACTTAGAACTAAATGCTATGAAGTTACAGCCACATTGTCATGATTCAGTTTTTCAATCAGTTTGTCGTCAGATACAGCATGCTTCGCAACAACTTATGAGAACTTCGAAGCACAAGAAAGTAAATAATCTATCAGATGAAGAGTTAGCTGCGCTAAAATCATTGAAATCGAATAAAGATATCGTCATATGTAAGGCAGATAAGGGCAATAGCATAGTCATACTAGATCGGGACGTTTACACGAAGAAAGCTGAAGATATTCTAAGAGGCGAACAATTTGAACAGTTAGATAGTGATAAATTTCATCTAGAACGAGAAGAAGAACTAAACAAATACATGTTATTTTTGTATAAGGAGAATGTAATAGATAATAGACTTCGTCATCAATTGAAATCAACATGCTCATCTATTTCAGTCTTTTATGGACTTCCTAAAGCACACAAAGCAGGATATCCAATAAGACCAATAATATCAACTATAGGAAGTTATCAGTATCAACTATCAAAATATCTAGCAAAAGCTATTAGAGATGCTCGTCCGCAGGCTCCATCATATATTAAAGATTCTTTTGAGTTTGTGAAAAAGATCAAAGAAATAATGCTTGAGAAGAATAAGACGTATGTGAAATGTAGTTTTGACGTGGAAAGTCTATACACGAATGTGCCAGTCAAAGAAGCAATAGAAATAACATTAGATTACATGTATAAACCCAGAAAACTAACAAACGTACCTTTTAATAGAGAGCAAATGAAGAAACTTTTGTATTTATCAGTGACAGATGCACCTTTTCGCTTCCAAAATAAGATATATAAACAGATAGACGGTGTTGCCATGGGTAATCCATTAGCACCAATAATAGCTGATTTATGGATGCAGAAAATGGAAGAGAAACTTAATAGATTTCGTAAGAACAAGCCCATAGTCTGGTTAAGATACGTGGATGATGTTTTTTGTCTGTTCACTATTTCAGAAACGAGTATTAGAGATTTTCACTCACGTATTAATAAATGGCATGAGAAGTTGAATTTTACACTTGAGCTTGAGTCGAATAAGTCCATTTCATTTCTGGATGTTCTTGTAACTCAAGATGAAGAAGATAAACTGACAACATCACTGTATCGGAAGCCAACTCATACAGGATTATACATGCTCTGGGATAGCAATCAAAACCGTCGTTATAAACTAGGTCTAATAAGAACATTAGTAATACGTATATATAGAATTTGTTCAAAACAATCGTTAGTTGAAAGGGAATTAAGTTTGTTAAGAAAGACATTAGTTAATAATGGATATCCGCCACATATCATCAGACGAGGGATAATCGAAGGAGAAGTGATCATTAAGAGAATGAATCAAAACCAAACGAAAGTCAGCGATAACAGAAAGACCATCTTCTTTACGATCAAATATTATGGACAAGAATCAGTCATTTTCGCGTCGAAAATTAAGAAACATTGTAGAAAACTAATTCCTAATTTGAACATCCAGTTTGCTTTTAAAAAGAATATGAGCTTGAAGAGTGTATTCTTACCAATACTTAAAGGCACAGATGAAAATAGAAAGAATAAGAACTTAGTATATTCTATTCCTTGTTTAAACTGTGATAAGGTATACATAGGTGAGACTAGTCGTAAGAAAGAAACTCGTATGAGAGAGCATCAAGCAAACATAAGGACTCTATCAACAAAATCAAAATTAGTAGAACATATTTTAGCGCACAAACATCAATTTGACTTTGTGAATACGAAAACACTAGCATTAGAAAATGATTGGAGGAAGCGTATCATCAAAGAAAGTATTTTAACGAGTAGAACATTAGGAAAATCAATAAATGAAGTCAAACACAACATTCAAGTAGTCGTATAGCGAACACCCATAGTTAGAAAGAAAAAGAAAAGAAAAGATGTTTATTTATTTATTGTCCTATATATGTATATATATTTTGTCTATGGTAAACTTATACGATTGTATGTTGTGAGAAGTGCTCCGCCTTAACATCAGGGTCGACACTCTCCGCGTATTTTCTTATAAGTCATTATCACATNATCAATAAATGAAGTCAAACACAACATTCAAGTAGTCGTATAGCGAACACCCATAGTTAGAAAGAAAAAGAAAAGAAAAGATGTTTATTTATTTATTGTCCTATATATGTATATATATTTTGTCTATGGTAAACTTATACGATTGTATGTTGTGAGAAGTGCTCCGCCTTAACATCAGGGTCGACACTCTCCGCGTATTTTCTTATAAGTCATTATCACATGATTTGAGTCTAATTTTAATCTTCAAATATGCCTCTTCATTGTTTTATTAATTATGTTGTTAGCGTCATTTATTATTATTATTTTTCGATGATGAACCTGTATGATTGTATGCTGTGAGAAGTGTTCCGCCTTAACATCAGGGTCGGCACCCTCCGCAGATAGTCAAATAGGTTGAAATCACACAATTAGGTATAATACGTCTTAATACATAACTCAGAAATGATAATTAAATTCAGTAATAACTCAGCCTTATTCATGGTGTCTGTTTTCTATTCGTTATTGTATATCTGACACATTCCATCAGTCTGATGTCCTTAACACAGTCAATGTCAGCTTACTTGCATCAATCTACCTTGATACTTAAGAAAAGTAGCCAGAGAATCTTGGGTACATCACATTATTTATCAACGACAATCACTAATTCGTATTCATCATATCAATCTGTCTCTTCCTATCTATATATCTAACTTAGTTTCACGTATTTCATCATTCTATTATTGTTTGTATATATACATAGATATATATATATATATATGTTTATATATGATGAATATGATCTTTCCAATCAATCCTGTCGTTTTCCCCTTTTATTTTATTTTGTCAGTAAAACTCAAACTCATTCATCTACTCAATCTCATCAAGCATTCATATCAATATTGCTTTTCTTTTACACACATTTTCTAACATTAATTCAGTCTCAATTATTTCACATTCTGATGAATATTGCTTTTATCTTACTTATTTGGTCTATAGAACTCAGTCTCACTCATCTACTTTATCTCATTGAACATTCGTATGAATATTGCTTTTCTCTTGCTTAGATGATTAATAAAATTCAAACTTACTCATCTAATTTATCTTATAAAATATTCACAGCAATACTACTTTTCTTTTTATACATTCGCAACAACGTCTGCAACATCAACAGCGTGTCAACAACGAAGTCAACAGCGTGATAAACTTTCTCACAACAATTAACATATTATTTATGTTTATGTAACTAGTAACGCTCGTCGAGGCAGACTCGCTATGCCCTCGACTGAACCACTGACTAAAAATAAAATAGTCTTTTGTGCGTTTTATGCAAAGAAAAAGACAGAAGTATAACCTTTGAAAGGGTCCCCAGAGACTGATCTTCATTCGCCTCACAGTCTTCAAAAGAGTCAAAGGACTACTTGTGCTGCTTTTAATTATTCTATATTCCTAACTGACAATCACTCTTCCCAGGAAGCAGAAGTTCGCTATAAATGACTATTATGGATTTGCACTTTTAAACATGTCCTCCTTTTTCTAAAAGAAAGATAATTTCGGTAAAACCAAACGAGACTATATATTTCGCATTCGACCGTCTCGGATTGTTGATACTTTTGGTAGCTGGCTAGATTACCAGGCGCAGCTCGTTGTTCGTCGGCGCCCCACAGGGGCGCCACTCACAACTCGCTCCAAAGCTGTCTGTATCTATCATATAATTACCCGTGTGCTACTAAAAAGTATCGAAAATTAATTATCATTCCATCAGCATCTCATAGATAAAATTATCCACGTCTGAACATTTGAGTCTATCTCCTTAATTAAAAGGCTTACAAAAACTTTCAATATATCGAAGCTCAGCATTTAAGATTGCTCTCCAGTATGTAACTTGTGAATGAATGTATTTTTGGATTACTGGTCTTTAGTATGCGACAGTCAACCGAGTGTGTTTTTGCTTTTTCGTAGTCAACCCTTCTATGTAGCCCTCCTCTTAGGCGCGGTTGAAATTTTTTCTTCATTTCTGTCACGTCCCTGCCCCTTCATCCGTCATCCAGCCAACCTCGAGTCTCAGGATCCCTCCCAAACGATGTTTCATAAAGTTTTGAGGCTTTTTCAAAAAAATGTTTTTTTGACCTTTGACCTTTGACCCTTGACCCTGACACAGACAGACAGACAAACAAACAAACTTTATTTTTATATGACCCTCCTTTCAGTCGAGGGAATTTCGTGGTTTTAATAAATATTTCACAATGTCAGTCCTGATGATGTGCTCTGCCAGAGTACGAAAGCTCGAATCCTCATCTTTTATTTCTGCATGAAATAAGCCTTTCTCATGATCTTTGCGGCAGTTTTATCTTTATTTTCTTATCTTTTACCTACTGCTCTCTCTCCCAAACATAGTTTGCATGTTTGTATGCAAACTTAATTGAAACTTCAATCCAATAGAAATCTATAGGTGAGAAATAGCGTAGAATCCAACGGACATATCCACTAATAACGATTTACAACTATTGGAGATACGGAAACAGCAGGATACGGCATAAATCACTTTGTGTATGAAACGTGTCTTGTTATTTAGTACTCTTTGCTAATTCGGCAAGGTTCGTCAGGTATAAATTGTCGTTAATATTCTTTTTTCAATCTCTCTATACCTAATATAACATGCCTCATCTATCAAAAAGAAAATCCCAGTGTAGTGCGGCTGTCTCGTGTCGGTGTATTCGAGAAGAGTCAAATGAAATGGATGTGTCGGAGGCTGATGATATTTTTGATTCGGTAATCGATGACGATGATGGCTTCCTCAAAAAATTGGATTACTCTATCCTAGGCGATTTATTCGAAGTATGCAAGGCTGACTGTGGATCTCGTCGTTTATCTGTCTTGGTGTATATGTTGTTACGTATTACAGGTCAAAATTGCCGATTTACTGACCATGTGCTTGAGAAAATCGGTGCTTTTCGACGTGTTCATGCACACAAATGGTCGGAAGTATTCATCTCTGGTGATTTCGATACCTTTACTGCTGATGATCGAGGTGGAAAAATGTCTTGCTCTTTCTACGATAACTATCCTGATTTGGAAGTTGAAGCTAAAGCTTTTGCTATCGAAAGATGTGCGAGAAAAACTGCAAGTTTCACCGCTAGTGATTTGGCCAGATTTGTAGATGAAAAATTCTATAATTTAACAAACTGTTAAAACTAGTGATGATCTTATCCGTTCCGAGAGATCTTGCAGGCTTGACCTTCGTCGTTGGGGAGCTCGTTTTGAAGCAAACAGTGCCAGGCCTTATTTTGAAGGCCACGAACGTGCCGATGTAGTTGCTCATCGAAACGAATTTGTTTCTCATTTTCTTCAACACAAAGATGAATATTACACTATTGGTGATGGTGATCAACCGAAATGGATTATTCCTAGCCATAATCCTCGTGTTCTTATCTTTCACGATGAGTCAACGTTCAGGAGCGGGGAGATTTCAGCAAAGCGTTGGATAATGGAAGATCATACACCTTTCTTCTCGAAAGGCCGAGGTCGCTCACACATGGTCTCTGACTTCCTCGTTCAAAACCCGAATGGACCTTTCTTTTCTTTAACCGATGTCGAGTTTCAAAATGCTGCTAAAAAGTTTCCTTCTCTTTCTGTTCCCACTGGCTTGAATTATCTCAAAAACTCAGCCACGGCTGGTATCAATGTCGGTCAGGAGGGATACTTCAATAACGAAACGATTTTAGCTCAATTCGAACGGTTATTCATGCTTCTCCTATTTAAAGAGGCTTTTAAAGATCATACTGTGGAGATCATTCTTGACAATGCGAAAACTCATTCTGCTAAAACATATAGTATCAATGATTTCGGGAAAAGTATTGGCACTAGATGTCCTGTTGATTCAATCGAGTACATTGATGATAATGGCCAACTTGTTTCAGTCCCATGTTACTTTTCGAAAGGTCAGTACAGGGGTCTCTCGAAAGGGCTTGTCGAGTTAGCAAAAGATCTGAAAGTAACTATTTCACCAGCTATGAAACTTGCAGAAATTCGAACGCAGCTGTCTGCTCATTTAGCGTTTCAAAATATCTCCAAACTCGAGTTATTAGCTCAAAAATATCATGTCAAGGTTATTTTCTGCCCAAAATTTCATCGCGAGCTAAATAGTATTGAAGGTTTGTGGTGTGATATGAAGAGATATGTAAGAGCACATAGTGACCAAACCTTTCCAACGATGCTCAGTCTCATTCCTAAATCTCGAATAAGTTTCGAAGAGCGTAAAATACAAATGAAACTTTTCCGCCGCTTCTGGAGTTCTCTCACTGCATATAGTCAAGGTAAAACCTATGAAGAAGTCCTCAAACTATTCTTCAGTCAATTGTGCCGATCAGATGTTGCTTCTCATCGAAGAATATCAAACAATAAACTTTCCTAAACCCATTATTTCTTAGACATGTTTTTTTTTCTCTGAAAAACAAAAAGAATAAACTTTTTAAAAACTCAAAAAAAGTATAAAACTTCAAACAGAAAAAAAATTTCAAAATCTTCAAACAGAAAAAAAATTTCAAAATCTTCAAAACAAAAATTAGCTAACTTCTCCGACGTGCATTCGGCTCTGCGTGCCGGAGAGGATCAACATACAGCCAACGAAAACAAAACATGGCGTTGTATGGCGAAGAAATGCACATTTGTGAAAGACAAAATTTCTTATCCAACTAAACAGATATTATAGCTCGCTATTAGTGGATATGTCCGTTGGATTCTACGCTATTTCTCACCTATAGATTTCTATTGGATTGAAATTTCAATTAAGTTTGCATACAAACATGCAAACTATGTATATAGGCTATGAGGGTCTATTTCAGAAAAATCGAGTTTTCTCAACGAAGGAAAACTTTTACTTTTTACGCATACGTAGTTTTGTTCGTCTTCGTTTGGCAGTTCGAATGATGTATGATAAGCGAAGAAAGCTTCTAAAACAAAAGACTTGAAGGGTTTGGGACGAAGAGGTGTTATCAACGTGACCTACCTTTGCGAGGAAAATTCCTTGATTCAGGGTCTTGAAGAAATCTACTTCTTGATCACTTAGATATATGCAGTTTTTCATGCTGAGTCCGAATATGTTATTCAAATCGCGTTTCGAGCAAGATTTCAGGGTGAAATCTTGAATTATTTGTAAAAATGTAAAAATTTCATTTTTTCACTGCTGCTTGGTATTTTCAAGGTTTCTCAGCTAAAGCTTGATCAAAATTCGATTTAAAATAGATATTCGGAATCTACTCATCGAGCTCTATCGAATGAGGTATATTGCAAAAAAATCAAAATTTTTGTGAACGTTTCAAATTTCCTGCACCTTGTATTATCTGAATTTTGTTTAATCAATTTTGGAAATGTCGAAAAAAATGGATTTTATCAAAAAAACAGCTTTTACACAAATTGATGGAAAAATCACTCAGAGCGTGGACTAAAATGTCTATAATTCCTGAATAATTAATTCTGAACATCTGAATATTGTGCAGCTTTGTAGACATTCGATGAACTATGTGAATTCGCATTTGGAAAACTGAAAGCCCGTTGTAAACATCTTACAAAATAGGCTTTTGTAAAGAGATTGATTGAAAACCTTTAAAAACTCATGTCTAATAACTCATACTGTATGGTTCGATACATCTTCATCTCCTCTTTCGAACAGTGAAAACCGCAAGCCTTTATCTTGTTTCTATAAAAAGTTATTCAAAAAATATCTACTGAATAGGAACTACTGTAACCGTCAGGCATGATAAAAAAACAGGTTTTTTGAGAATTTTATGCTTATGACCTAGTTGAAGTATGATCAAATAGCATAGAAAAATGCAGAATTTTTTTCTCTATCACACTGTGTAGAGAAAGAATTTTTCAAGTTTACTATGCTGTTCTAAAATACAACTCTCGAAACTTTTGGTATGCCCTATGTAAGTGACTTTTTTAACTACTTGCTGATATGGACGATATCCTAAATCACGACGATATTTTTGAACAGTGCGAACACTAACACGTTTATGCATGACTTGTAAAATATCGCTTGCAAGAACAATAGCAGTTGCTGTAGGTTTTTTTCTAATTAATTCATCGAGTTTTTTCATTTCTTCATTATTAAGACATGTAGAACGACCGGTCGATTTACCACCATTGACCTCTCCTGTTTGATTGTAATGAGATAATATTTTACAAATTGCAGCTGGTGTACACTTATGTTGTCGTGCAATTGTTTCTAATTTCTTTCCATCTCTTTCTCGTTCCATTATTATTTGAAGACGTTCTACATTACTAAAATGGTTCATTTTTGACTACTTTTGTCCAAAGCAGAAAACATAAGAAACAAGACGGAAACGAATCATCTATATATACCGTTGTGTAGTGTTTTAAGTTGTCTATGCACTGATATGTTACTAATTCTTGGATAATGAATTATGAGCGCGCACTATACTTTTGCTTTTTTAACGTTATTTTAGTGCTGGGAGAATCAACCAAACGTAAATTCCATCTAGTAGCAACCACATAATACCTCTCATATATTTGCAAAAACCTCCTGATTTTTCTCCTGATAAAATCCTGATTTTTCCTCAAAAATCCCTGATTTCTGAAATTTTGATTTGGCAACCCTGGTAGAGATACCAAACCACCAACACTCGAATTTACATTGATGCAACTTTTTCGAGTTTTTGTCGAAAAGTCGGCGTAAGACCGTTGCGATCAATGGTATCTGTCTGAAAAAAACTAGGAAAAAAGTTTTTTTGATGATGAATTCTGGCGCCTTGACATGAGGATTCAGTACCTTACCTTGGATATGTATTTTGCGCGAGTTTTCATAGAGCAATTTCGAGTTTTTTTGTCAGGGAAAAATGCATTTTTCGAAAACATGACAAAAAACACGAAAAAAAGTGTCTTGTATATTTTTCAGGCAAGATGAAGTCAAAAGTGAAAATTTTTTTACCAAAATGATCAGAAAATGAAGCTCTATTAGCTGTGAAAGTTTCATCAAGTTCGAAGACATTTTCCGGATTGGTTGAAGATTTCTCGTGAATACACCCATATATGCGCATATGCTACAATAAGTTCGCGTTCTGATAGGATTATGTGTTGAACGAGATATCGGTTATCCTGAATAATCCGCTAGGCCAGAAACTATTTCTCCAAAATCAATATCATGTGGACCGTTACTCGTAGTTGGAAAAACGTCATCAAAGGACGTATTTAATAGATTGATTAAACGCGCATCTGCTGTTGGCTGAATGGTTGCTGTACAAAAATAATGAGTTTGATTTGAATAGAAGCGATACACTTACATGATTGATAGACAAAATCAAATCTTCCGATGATTTTATCGTTCTGTATTGCAATAATTGGAACCATTTGGTCTTGATCACTTGGTATCAACAAACATGCCGGTGTGTAAAACTCAATCGTCTTCGAGTCGATCAACTTGTGCCGAACTATAATGTGTTGATTTAATGACGCAAAATCAAAACATATGCGAAGGGCTTCAACTAAGATAGAACAGATGTCGAATAGCACAATAAAAGTATAGAAAATACCTGCTGTTGTATCAAGCTCAGGAAGGACCATGAAAACCTTGTCTCCTCCCGCCCTATTACCTTTTTCTGGCGCACAACTCACTAATTTTCTGTCATGATCAGTTGCCGTAACAGCCGCATCAACAGCACCTATGCTCAGAAAAAAAGGGAATATGGTAGCTGTCAATGAAAGTTCTGCAACCATTGAGCAGATGTATGGTCTATATCAAGGTCTAATGACTATTGTCACCAAGAAATTAGCGTAGTTAAAATATGAGTTGATGATCGCATGTGGCCATGTATATATGGTGATATCCACCAGAAGTCGCGAGGTCTATCGGGCAATCTCGTCCGATTTTTATAAAACTTTTAGCATCTGTAGACGCTGAGTGATGATAGTTTTTGCGATGAAAATTTTTCGGGTAAAAGAATCAAAATATTGAAATCTACGAGCCAAGGGTGATAGCAATGGAACCGCATGTGATTTTAAAATGACAGAAATACATTTAAGGCAGTATGTAGATGAAAAATAACTTACGAGGGAACCGCTCGAGGTGATTAACGGGTTTAGGTTTCATCTATTGGTGGTAGATAGTCCTTCGTGAGGTATGAAAAGCTTCAAGAGGATTCGTGGCCATAGGCCTTTTACGTAGAGTTATAAATGTTTTACTGAACTTTTCGCATATAGCTATGTATCTACCAACAGATCAAATATCAGTATTTAGAACTGAAACTTTGGTTACAAACAAGTCTATAGATAGGAACGATGCTCTGAAAATTTCGGCTCTAAAGAAGGTTTCCTTCTCAAGATACTAAAACTTCAAAAAATCACCCATATCTTAGGGAAGATGATAGAACTGTTCCTTATTTCAAGTTTTAATATCTTGAGACGGAAACCTTCTTTAGAGCCGAAATTTTCAGAGCATCGTTCCTATCTATAGACTTGTTTGTAACCAAAGTTTCAGTTCTAAATACTGATATTTGATCTGTTGGTAGATACATAGCTGTATGCGAAAATTTCAGTAAAACATTTATAACTCTACGCAAAAGGCCCATGGCCACGAATCCTCTTGAAGCTTTTCATACCTCACGAAGGACTATCTACCACCAATAGATGAAACCTAAACCCGTTAATCACCTCGGGCGGTTCCCTCGTTAGTCGACTTTTGAAAATATCGCAGAAAAAGTATTTGGATTTTTCTGGCCCAGTTTTGACTCAAATAGAAAAGAGCACATATGTAGTTTGTACAGCAATCCAAGCTCTATCGATTGGTACATAACTCAATTTGAACAAAATAAGGCATTTACGAAAAATAATCAAAATACGAAAGAACTCGATTCTGAACATTTTTTAGGACATTTTTTGGTATAATGGTTCGATATATGTTAACTCTGTCAAAGTAAATCTTCAAACCTTAATATTTTGGATTGATGTATGGATCATTGAAGCCTAAGGTCCTATGAGGTCAGATCTAAAATATGTTGACTCATGTGTTTTCGTAATTCATGGTTTGTTCATAGAGCGTCTCTTAAGTAACTTTGCAGAAGGTTTAATACTTACGATCCATATGGCATCTATAGATGCCATACAGAACGTAAACGAGGAATGTTTTCGTTCTTTAGTCTTCTTAGAAGACGAATAGTATATGATGTTCACCTAAGTTATAACGGGTGTGATTCTTATGCCTATGTATTGGCAACCAGAATAGATTTAAATACAGCTGACTGAACGTAAGAAAGAGAAAGAGATTTTTTCCTGTTTTTCGTGTTTCTACAAAACGCAAAAAATGTCTGGATCGAACGGGTTAATTTAAACGTTTGATAGATTATCAGGCGCTGCTGTATCCAGCTAGTGCGTATGACAAAAACTGATTATCTCTACCAAGTTATGCTATCAACAGCTCATATTTTAAGATAGACGCATACTTGTCTTTGGTCACTTACTACGTTGTTGGTTATTTGTTCCAAACATCACCTCTGACGAAACTGGCGAAACACTGGATACGGCATTTAGATTATGATCAACGTACTGGAATAGGGAAAAAACAAGTCGTGATTTTTGCAACCCATACTTTTTTATTAGCTTCTTGCTGTCTAATTTATTCCATGCATCGGGCTGATGTGTTTTATCTTACAAACAAAAAGACAAAAAGTTCTGTTGTCATGACCATTACTATTACTTCTTACTAGAATTGAGAATGCGTAAAGGGCCGTGCGCTTTGAGCGTTTTTTGTTTTAACTTGGTATGGGTAAGGCAAAACCTGAAAAAATGAATCTTAATAGAATTAAGTAAACAACTATGCTGTTTTTTGGTACGCTTTTCTGCCGTTTTGAAAATCTGAACGTGTAATTGGAAAATAAAGAGCATTGCTAACGGAATCCTTCTCCACGTTAGAGACCATAGTATCAATTGGATATGGATGGACACACACCTTCCGTACACGTTTTTTAGGTATAGTAACAGGAGTCACTCGAATGTATAGCTTATTGTTGATATGCTGCCATGATTCTGGTATCTAATTAAAAGAGACAGTAGAATGTTTTCCTGTATTTTAATAGTGAACATTCATTGTGAATACTTAAGTGGAAAGGCAAAATTAAATAACATAAGAAATTATTACGTATAAACTAGCTTATTCTAAGTTCAAGAAATATTATGTACACAAAATAACCTAATTGTCTGACTTTTATAGAATAGTTTACGAAAAGGATTCTACCGTGCAATTATCTCTGCCATCTAAAAGCTTTCAGCGTAACCCCTTTGGGGCTAAAGTGTGGAACTCTCATACTTGCATTTAGACAATGAGACTGTGAATTATAATAGAACATTTAAAGATTAAACTTAGTTTCAAATCTACATCCTGAAGCTCATAGCGTTTGCACTAGTCACAAAAGACATAAGCAGCACATTCAACTGAAGAATAAAATATAGAGCTGTCTGTGCTGCTAAATATGAAAATAGTAGCTGAGTATTATTTTGAATTGCAGGCAAAGTGAGATTATCCTGAATGAAGTGCACGTTGGACCCCTTCCGCATGAATTAAATAACAAAGAGTGAGGCCCAAACAGCAGAGTATGCAAAAATCAACTTGAAAAGCAAACATTTTCAGTTTAATAACAAATAATAGAATTCTGAACACGCTGATAACAAATTTTTGTTTTCTATAGCCCTAATACTATGTACATTTCACATGAGATGCCTAATTCGACTTATACTATAAGTCGACCCCCGACAGGCTAGTATCAATTCAAGTATAAATAGGTATCTATATAACCCTTATAACAAATGACTAGATAGAAATAGAAATAGATTTAGTTTTACTTATGCATATATACACCCACACCTTCTCTTATATCTATGTCGCATGAGGGTGCCGTGGTGGGTGTAAACGCGGATATATCTCGAATGAGGGTGCTGCGGTGGGTGTTGGTGATGGTATATATGTATAAGTAAAACTAAATCTATTTCTATGCCTAAGGGTGCTGGGAATTGGTCACTTATATTATAAGTCGAATTAGACAGCTACTCACATTTCAAGTAGCCGTAATACTCATATAGGCCCTATGATTCCAATAGTCGTTGTACTGTTTGCAGTCTGCGACGCAGACTGTGCGTAGCTCTTGTAACCTGTAGCAAGTATAGCGTGTATAGACTCTGTGACCCCGTAGCGGCTATAACTTCTATAGCTGGAGTAGCCATTTATGATCCATGAGGGAGAGGGGATCCAACGACTTGTGAACCTAAAACTTACGCTCACTATTTTTCTTCGAAAATAATGTGAGCTCCACAAAATAAAATAGCATAATCGGCAAACTATCTCGCTTTTAGGTGATTGATAAGTCAACAGCAAACTGAAAAGGCCCTGTTTTCCTGAATTTTACCTCCAAATATGCATTTTTGTCAGACGACTGAAAATCAAATTTCCAAAACAAATATTTTCAACTATAACAGCAATTATGGAGCCTGATTCCTCTCGAAGATGGAGAACTACTATATATATAAAGTGGAACGCAAATTTTTAAGCAGCTGATGACTGTGCGGATACCAGTTTTTTTGTACTTTGATTTATTCTGTTATGAAATGCATTTCTAGTTAGCTATAGTCCATTCATTCCACATGAAAAAAAAGAAGACAGTGTAGTTTGTACGGCTATGTGTTGTCCCTACTTTGGGTCTGGAAAACTTAGAATCGGTTAGCTTGTACTCTTATTTCATCGAGCAAGAGGATGAAGATGACAATAATTGTAGTGGTGATCCTGAACACTAAAATCGTTTGACATTATGGTGTAAAGGAAATTGAAGACCTCAAGTACGGTCATTACACGTCAGTATATGAGAAAACTGATTTATCGAATACAGTATTGTAGGATCAAACTATTCTACAGTAAAATTTACAGTACAATTTGTACTTGTATTTGCGCATCTCTGGAATAACTACAATTTTAATATCTATTGTGGAAAGAAAGACAGGCAGTGACATCCTTTAAGTGTACGTGTAACTACTATCGAAGTTTTTATAAAAGGCAGGTGGAAGAAATCTTTGTAACTTTTGGTTGGAAAGTTATTTAGACCTGCGATTTTCACCATTCGTTAGAGGAGGGTCGGGGACAGATACCTATGCGGGAAAGTCACCATTCAAAGCTCTTCGTACAGTGCACTCTCGCTGACGAAATTTATCAGGTGTTAGCAGACCTTTTTAAGGACTTTTTTTATGATGCTGGTACTCCAACATGTCCACTGCACGTTGGTATCGACGGAATTTTTCTACTTTCCTTCCTGGAAATACCAGTGATATTTTAACATTGAAATTATACGAGGAATTTCTCACTAAGAAACGAAATTTTCCTAAACATATATTCAGATTACAACTTTTTTTTGTATACGAAGTATTATGAAAAATAATTTATTCTTTTCTAAGTCTTACATCTAGACTGCTTAGTCACTCTCTGATCATGTGTTTGTCGATATATAATGACATTACAGAGAGAAGACGACAAATGTACATATTTGTGATAGTTCTCTCGATCATTTTTTTCTTTTTCTGTTCGATATGCACATGCTCTCTATTATAGATAATCTATTTAATCAGAATGCCAACAGGTCATGAATTTTCTCAAGAAGTGAAACAATTAATATTCCATGTTATTGATTTCGTTGAAAATGAGAAGAATGGTCCAGTAATTCCTCTCTACAATGTGAAAGCTCGTCTTGTTAAAATGTTGAATATCTCCGAAAGATCAGTCTACAGACTAACGCATGAATTACATCATTTAAGATGTAAGGAAACAAAGAAAGTATCACAAGAACAACAAGCAATGGAAGAGAAAAAGAAAGAAGAACCAATTGTGAAAAATCTTCGTAGTCGTACTATTGTATATCCAACAACCAAACCACTTCAATATTCAACGTCTAATGCACCAGCTAAAATTCTTCATCGTCGACATACTGCATCTTCTGTCTATCCATCAAAAGATCATCTTGTTCCTCAAGCTTTGTTTCCCGAAAAAAAAAGTAAAAAAGCTTTATTTGAATAGTTCGAAACTTAATTCTTCTCGTGCTAGTGCATTCTGGTCGTCCGAATATTGTTTTATCAGAACAAGGCAAAGATTTAATACGACTTGAATTTCATAAAC